AGAAAGAAAAAAATAACATTATTCATATTTTTATTTTATATATTATAGGCTCAACAAAGCAAATACATAATGTTAACTATTATATAGTGTGATGACACCTTTGTTATCGTTTCAAATGAATAATTATAGGATTCAACTTTAGTAACTATTTTTACCTTTTAAAAAAAGCCCACAAACACATAACTACTTTCTAGCTAGCTCACAATCCTTTATTTTAATTTTTCTTTTTTGAGGATTACTAACTCTGTTATAATGTAGTATCTATCCATACATAATTTTTCAACTTATTTAATCAGTTTCACATATTATAATATTTCCGGACAATCATTTTCTCAGCACTATGATTTCATTAAAGTTGTGTGATGACGTAGATGTAATTCTTCCGCAAATTATGCGGTGGACTCGTGTTCACAATGCATTGTGAACACGAGTCCAAAACGACGTCGTTTTCAGGAAAAACGCGTTATTTCAGTTAAAAAAAAATTGATTTTGTCTCGCCGTTAACGGCGTTATTCATTTGTGCCATTATGAATGTACAGTTAGGGGATTATGAATGTACAGTTATGGAATTATGAATGTACAGTTATGGAATTATGAATGTAAGTTATAAAATTATGAACACAGAGCTCTGACATTATGAACTTACAATTATGAACATATAGTGATAAAATTATGAACATAGAGCTCTAAAATTGTGAACATCGAGCTTTGAAAATTATGATTTTACAGTTATTGCATTATGAATATACAGTTACGGAATTATGAATGTATACGTATGCAATTATGAATGTACGGTTATGCAATTATGAATGTACAGTTATGAAATTATGAACACAGAGCTCTGACATTATGAACTTACAATATGAACATATAGTAATAAAATTATGAACATAGAGCTCTAAAATTGTGAACATAGAGCTTCGAAAATTATGAAGTTACAGTTATTGAATTATGAATGTACAGTTATGGAAGTATGAATGTACAATTATTGAATTATGAACATAGAGCTCTGACATTATGAACATATAGTAATAAAATTATGAACATATACTCCTATAACGAAGCGGTCTGAAATTTTTTTTTAAAAAAAAGTTGAAGATAACAGTGCCATTAACGGCACTGTCGATAGCATAACGATTGTAATTCTTCTTGCAAATTATTACATGTTCTCCATTAATTAATTTAATTCATATTGAGGTGATTGCAATCATGACTACTTTTATTTATTTATTTATTTACTTATGTTTGTTTAATGTTTTGAGAAAATATATTCAACATGAAACTGTAGAAGTAAAGACTCCTGCAGGCCAGTATATATACAAGATCCATCCAGGTATACATTTATTTGACTATATATAGATTACCTCGGATCTCCTCCATTGTAGTAGTAGTTAGAGCTATATATATAAATATTTGCTAATTACCGTATTAGGCCGGTCAGCCTTAATTAATGATCGAATCTATACCTACGAGTAACCCTATGCTAATTAAAGGAGTAGTGGAGTTATCAACACTCCAGTCAATGTCATTCATCAAATTACATGCAATAATTATCAAAAGTTCATTATGGTGTATTTATTATTATTTTATCACTACGATTTTTTCAAAGAGAAAATAACTATGAGTTTTATTAAAAAGTAATTTAAAACTTTATTTTTCTCAAATTAAGATATTTTGAAACTTATATTTTAAATTATACACTGCTTCTCGCCCCTTTAGCACTTTATCACATGTTGTTCATGAGTTGTTATTACCATGATATACGTTGTAAAAATAATTTATGGAGCAACTCTAACTAACTTAGTCAGACTATTAATTTGATAACTATAAGATTATAAGTTTGACTCTTAGATAATGTGAGTACGATAATATTTTATAACTTTGTTTGGTTCAAGTTATGTGATTGACGCACTTAGTAATTTTATATTTATATTTTTGTCATATAATATTTTTGATATAACGTTGGAGGTTGCATGTCTAGGATTTGGATCAAATAAAAGCATAATCTAAGGAGAAAACTAAGAAGTAATTAAATCTGTATATTATTAGGAAAGATAAAATAATTTTTAAAGTAAAGAGAGGAGAAAAGATCGATGTACTGATATTTTCATAAATAATAACTCATACATTATGTACACTCAGCAACAGTATAGAGCGTATCCAAGTGATCGATATGTGAAAGTGCAGTGAAAGGGTTCATCTTTTAGAGTTTATAATTTGATTTTTTATTTTCGGTTTAGGATTTAGTTTAATTTGTTTTGTTTGGTTTAAAAGTTTCACGTTTGAGTTTATTATTTATGAATTACCTTTAAAGCACTTAGTAATACTATAAAGTACACCTAATAATAGTATAAAATGCTCACAACGATATTCTAAAGTATACACATGAAAGTGCAATGCACTTAGGTTTTATGTCGTATCTTTTATAATTTATGATTTAGTTTTTTAGTTTGGTTTAGAGGTTCACTTTTAACTTAAAATTAAACTTTGCTATTTATGGTACGGTTTAACTTTGAGTTTAGTTTTTTGGTTTAATTTTCAATATTTATCAATAGATTCACTCATATATATATATATATATATATATATATATATATATATATATATATATATATATATATATATAATGTCTAAAATGCACTTTATAGTGTTGTTAAATGTATTTAATTTAAAATTCAAGTTATTTACAAATTAAAAATGTGATTGTATTGATTTTTTTCTCTAATAATTGTTTCAGATCTGTTAGATCTTTGTGGACAAACAGCTTTGATTGATTTCTGATTTTCTCTTGGACGCATATTATCACGGAATATGAGTCCATTTTTATTTATTTATTTATATTGATTTGATTTAAGTAAGTTATACAAATAACTTAAAATATAATATCAACTAGGCATCCATATGTTAATGTAACGTTCCTATAAGCTAAGCAAAATACACAAAGTAATTTTATATTCTCAAAATCTCACATCACCTCTCAAAAGTAACATCATTATCGAACTTAATCTTACCTTGTGTAAACCAAAAGCTAATTAACATAAAGTCAAATATGAAATAGGACATGCATAAAGATATATAGCAGAAAAGAGGAAGTCATTATGGCCTGTCATTCTGTACTCTTCTTGCTAGTTCCCTCTCATCATCATATATCACTTTTAATTTACTTTTAGATCAGGTGTCTACAGAAACATGTTGCAAATATGTCTTACATGCTTTAATTTGCTCAATATAATCCACCCATTTCCTACCTCTATATATTGTAGTAAATTAGGCAATCCAACATATATAGCTCAATGATCGAGAAGTTGAGTATAGATGTAGTGCTCAAAAAATACTCGAGTTCAAATTCTCACTGAAAAATGAATAAATCTTGGACTAAAGTAAAATGCTCAAACTATACATCACTGAAACATCCTACAATTTACCTCCTCTCATAAAACTCAAAGACATAGGCGTGAGAGATCATTAGGTTTTCAGTTCAAAATTTATATTGTAATAAATTTGTAATTATTCATAGGGAAGAGAATCTATCAATTAAGTTCACAAAGTGACAAGCTAGTTTATAACTTTTCATATCAGAAGATCGATGCAATCTCAGCTGGAGTATTTATCTTCTTCTAAAAAAAAAAATTTATTTGGTGTCATTGTTGATTATTGCGATTGAATTGAAATTGAACTTGAATACTATATTTGTTATTTTAATTATAGGTAAATGATTCTGATTAATTTATATTTGTCACTATAAAAACAATTTTTTCTTTTGGTTTATATATGAACTTTTTTCTAATGATAGTTATAAGTATAATTATAACATTTTTTTTACATCAATTCTAACTAAATAGAATTCGTTACTATAAGATAAATATTATTTTTGAATATGAAAGTATTATGCACCAAAGATATATGACATTTTGCGACGTTGACATAGTTTGAATTTTGAAACTATTAGGCATTAGATAGCGATGAACAATAATTGATGAATGTCCTATGACCAAAAGGCTAGGTTTTGGAATGTCAATGGAAATACTAGTAGAAACTAAAACTTGGTCCCTTCATATGGTGAGTACTTTTTATTTATTTATTTGCAAGTGGTATTGTTTGTTATTGTGATTGTAAATTGACAACTTAATACTTTTACATGTTGGATATTCATCCATTTAAATAATTATATTTGATAGATTAAATATAATTAAACTGGAGTCTAATGGATGTTGTTGGAAAAGATGAGTAAAGTTGACTATATTATAGGATGTCACTCAGTTGGTCGGATAGTCTAACGAGAGATAGAATTACTCGGAGCAACTTGACAACTTGATCTAAGGATTTTAAGGGGGATTCCAACTACAATTGATTGGAGATTGAAGATTGTTCTTGAAGCTAAGTTTGTTCATTTCATTCAATTGCAATTTACTTTTGTTTCCAATGATTCCATTGATTCTTCATTCTAGCTATGCAACTGTGACAATGTGTAGCTAATTCTTAGGAAATTAGGATTAGGTTTACTCGTCAGATGCTAGGATATTTTGATTGCAATTAGGAAGTTACTTGATGCATTGATTTGAATTCTTATTGGAAGTGGACTCTTGTATAATGACGGTTGAATTATACAAGAGGTCTAGGTGTCGTGTATCCACCAAGAGATTGGGACTACACTATAGTGTACTCCACTTGCAATTTCCACCTTGCACCGAGAGGTAGAGCTCGGAAGAAGATGTGGACTGTACTCTAAGTGTTTGATGAAATGTCTCAAATAATAGAGTTACTATGAGAGTAGAATTTTACTACTTGATAAGCCAAATAAACCACGAATTTGTTGTACTTGATAGGCCAAATAAACCACGAGTTTGAATCTTTATAAAAATTCTTAGGATCACTCCTTACCTAAAAGGTCTTAAGAAGTGATCCTAAGACTTTTTATAAAGAATTCAAACTTCAATGACATGCCAAGCACCTTGTGCTCAGATGACATGTAGTGACATTTTTCATGTGGCCTCATAAGATCGAGCCTCAGTGGAGGCGTTGTTGACTCTGTGTGCTTCATTAGGTTGAGAAAGTATGTTTGAACAGATACTACAATGTAATAGTGTAAGTAGAATTTAAAAAAAAAAAAAAAAAAAAAAAAAACTCCAATGCCATCAAATTAATTACAAGACAGTTTACATTTATTTGTTGTAAATTATAAGTTTATAATTTGTATTACTCCGTAATTTTATTTTTTTTAAATGGTAAGTTTCTAGCTGATAAAGTATAAAATTTTAAATTTAATTTATAAATGTGCAAATAATATATAGCTTGAGTGTAGCAATTACGAAAACATGTAATGAAATAAAAAATTTATAATTATAATTAAAATTTGTAAAAGTATAAATTATATATATGTGAGTATGTGTGTGTATATATGGGTCAAGATAGGCAAATATTTTTAAAATGAGTAATGCTAGATACTCATAATAATTTTTTCCCTCCAATCATATCAATCTCTCATGACGTAGCAGCATCTAATTGATATCTAAATTATATTTTGAATTAGTGGTAAGGTCAATCAATTCATGACACCCAATGAATGAATGTTACATTAGGAGGAAAAATATTAGAGGTGAAATTTTGGAAGGGAAGAAAGTATTTTCCTTTTAAGAATATAGATTGAACTGCCATGGCACAACTTACATTTTAATATGAATTGATTTGGCAAGAGCTACATTAATATCAGTCTATATGAAACTAAGTTAAGATCAATGATATTATTAAATTGGTACAATATAATTCACTTAACATTACTAGTTAAAAACTCTCTCTACAAGTGTAATGAGTTCAATTGTTGATATATTAAACTCACGATATACTTATATAATTTAAAATCTTTCTTTAGTGGGTCACAATTATAATAAATATTCTATGCGACCGTTCGTAACGTAACTCCCGGCATGTATTGATGAATGATGATGAGTATTCCTGTCACATTCACGTAGTGCATGGGTCAGCCGAATCATGGTTTTTTGCCACATTAATTATAGTTCCATAGGTCTAAGGATTGCCAATTCCTTCCAATCATCTACTATTTTGGTGTTTACGGTTCAAACTTCATATCTCTAATTCAAGAAAGTAGTATTTGTGCCATCCGTAGATAGAGATGTCAATTGAGCCAATTCGTTCGATTTTGAGCTAATTTTACTCTGATGTCGGGCTTATCGATTCAAACTAATCGATTTTTTTTTTCTGGTCAGATTTAAAATTCTTGACTATAACCCTAAAACATGGCAAATTATGTTGTGGAACCGTGTCCACCTTGGTTCTAAAACTGTTCATATATAATTATGAATATATAGTTCAAAAATTATGAAAATATAGTTCTATAATTATGAACATAGAGTTGTGAACATAATTATGAACATATAGTTCTGTAATTATGAATACAGAGATTCAATAATTGTGAATATGAAGTTCAAAAATTATGAATATATAGCTTTATAATTATGAACATATAGTTCAGTAATTATGAACATATAGTTCAGTAATTATGAACATAGAGTTCTGTAATTGTAAATATAGAGTTCAATAATTATGAATATGAAGTTCAAAAATTATGAATATATAGCTTTATAATTATGAACATATAGTTCAGCAATTATGAACATAGAAACGTGTCCACCTTGCAAGGTGGACACGGTTCCACAGCATAACGATTGCTAAAACATCATATTGTCTAAGGTATTGCCGAACTCAACTAAAACTTTGACATTTATAAATTGACATTATGAACTTTTAATTATGATAAATTAGCGCATTTATACTAATAAATATAAATTTGTACATCATTCAATTAATATAAACCTCCATTTCTAAATTTTAACTAAAAATAATTAATATATTTACACGATATGTAATGTAATAATTATTACTCTGCTTAGGTTTTTATTTTTTATTATTTATTTTTACGAATAATAAAAGTTTGATGGCTAATTAAAAATATAATTATTTTATTTTTTAGGAACATGCCATATGAAAAGGTGAAGCGTGACCAAAATAGGGATTTTGCACATGCATGTTTGTAGAATCTCATCTTATCAAAATTGTAATTAAATTAAATGCACATGTTACATGCACGGTAATTCTTATCCAATAAAATAAGTTAAATAACAAATATTGCAACGTCAAGCACTTTGTATTCAGATGTCACATTTAATTTGTGGCTCTCCATGATGGAAGATGAGAAAGTATCAAACATATGCTACCTTCTAATAGAGTCAATAGTGCTCTCCAAAAAAAAATATATATTTATTGCAACAAAAATATTCAAAAGAGTAAATACCGAAAATGGTCCCTCGACTATAACTAAATTCACAAATTGGTCCTTGACTTTCAATTTTAACCAATTAAGTCCTTAACTTTGCAATTTTAACACGATTTGGTCCTCCGTCTATTTGACCGTTTGTTGACTGTGATTTTTGAGGATATATATGTAATTTCATGGTCCATTGTCGATTTTTAAGGTTCCGGTTGCATTTTCAAACCGCAGTGTTACATTTGAATCCACCGCCGAAAGCAATCTACCAAATCCTGTTGTCTTTCTTCATCCTCCCTTTGGATTCAATGTAGTTGAGTTTGTAACAGAGTGAAGAAGACAACGTGTTTTCGAACCGGTGCAGCGTCATCCTGGAGGCCTCCATGTGCTCTGGTGAGAGTTGCGGGTTCTTCTGGAGATCGTCGATGACGGCGCGGGCGCCGGCATTAATGCAGAAGTGTTCGAAGGACCAAATCGTGTTAAAATTGTAAAGTTAAGGACTTAATTGGTTAAAATTGAAAGTCAAGGATCAATTTGTGAATTTAACTATAGTTGATGGACCATTTTAAGTATTTACTCTATTCAAAAACTAGAAGAAACTTAATACGAACAAAATAACATTACAAAGAAAGAAAGAAGAAAGAGACGGGAAAAAAGTAAGAAAATTTGCACTCACCAAGATTCCATTCTTCGACTTTTCCAATTTTCTGTTTTTTTTTTTTTTTTTTTTTTTTTTTAGAAAATCTTCTAATTTTTCACTTTGATAAACAACCCCTATATTTCCTAGTTTCCTTGTTTTACATTTGAAATTACTCATTTTTGTGTTACATAGACATTTAAAAGTAATTTTAATTTAGTAGAGAAATGTTACATGAGGCGTTATATATACTTTGTATTGCTTTTCCTATTTATCAATTGTTGTTGAAAGAGAATATAATGCTAAAATACAATGCAAATTAAGAAATTTTGGTATGCGTACCTTTAAAAACGTGCATAAATTAAATTAATAATTCTAATAATAAACGTAAAAGAAAATGAAAAATCTCCTGGGGTATCTGGTAAGATGAAATTATAATTTCATTCCTACCAAATTTTATGACATTTATCTTTGTTACTAGTTTTTTACGCGCATTGCGCGATTGGGATAATGCCCAATGATTTTTTTTAAATAAGTACTTTAAAGTATATTAAGGCAAGATTATATTGAAATTGTTCATGCATAGATAATTGAAGGTTGAATTTGCGTATTTAAATAAGTAATTCTTCTCCCAAAGGTTGAGTCCCCAACCCCAAGGGCCCCCTATACTACGACCCGACAGAGCATTGTGGGAAGTTGTAAATCACGGTGACTCAATGGTTCAGCAGACAGGGTCAAATGCTGATACGCACAAGGAATCTGCCCACTTTTGACATAATTCTCGCATTGCCGCCGTCGAGGTTCAAACCTTGGTCTCTTCTCCCAAATACTACCCACTAAACCATTGAGCTAAGCTCGTGCGGGTTAAATAGGTAATTCTAAGTTTACAAATGCAAGATAATATAGTCAATATTGATTATAATTGTCAATAAAATAATTGTATAGGTATAGTCGAAACCAAATACGGGACATAAGGGAGAACAAATAAAAATTAGGGCATAAAATATTAAATATATACTAATATTGTTTGAGGAGATTCCGACATTAGGATTTGTGGTTAAGTTCTATTAAGACTTTAATAATAGAAGTAGATTAATGGTGTAGTTATAATTTTATATTAGACTTTAATATTAGAATTAGACTAACGGTGAATTAACGGAAAAGTTAAATGGATAATCATATAATTAAGGATAAATTAGAAAATCTTAAAAGAAAAAAATTAAAATCTGAACAATATGAACCATTCATTTGATTTAATAATTTGGCGGTCATTTTTTCTACCCAATGTTAATAATTAAATAAATTCGCTGGTCAAATCCGCTAGTATAATCCGCTAACGCTAACCGCTAACTCCTGATTGTCAAGCAAGGACATTGCGAGGTAGTTCTCACTTCAATTTGTTGTGTGATTTGAATACTCTTTTTGTCACAAAATCTCTCAAGTAGTTAATATGGTTGGCTTTATTAATTATATATTTTTTAATTTTTTCATGGTATTAATAAAATACTTGGTAAATAAATATATAGCATTATTTTATGTTATAACTTTGATATTTAATTAGAAAATAGTGCACAAAAAAAATAATAGATAATGTAGTGAATATAATCAATTGATGAACTTGAATGTAAAAATTTTTACATTTGAGAAAAATAAAGACAATATAACTAATGAAAATATTTCTTTTAATTAATTTATTGATAATTAATAATTTTTTTTCACTGAATAAAGACATTGTAAGGACAATGTAGCGAATATAATCAATTAATAAATTTGAATATAAAGAATTTTTATATTGAAGAAAAATAAAGACAATATAACTAATAAAATTATTTATCTTATTTAATTTATTGATAATGAATAATTTTTTTTTTTAAATAAAGACATTGTGGACACATAATTCTAAATTAAAGAAATTTATATGTATTATTTTTTGTTGTAACTACTAAATTATTATTTATATAATTTAATAAGAGTAAAATAGAGTACTAATTATGCCAACTTTGATTGGGATGAGGTTCGAACCTAAGACCTTTTTTTATTGAAATCAATGAGTAAGTTAACGGTGAACTAACGGCAATTCTTAAAATTTTAACGGAATTAGT